TGAAAACAGATACGACACGTTTAACATGTATAAAAAAAGTGAAAAAACGGCTGGTATGTTCAATAAGAAATAAACCGCATTGCTACAGGATGAACATGGTAAAGTAATATTTGAAATCAAGGAAAAACTTGGTGTTTATATCAAGTCCATAGGTTCTACTTGTTTCTGTTATTTTGTTCATTAAGTTTTGCAGCCCTTCTATGGTATTGGAAAACACTATTGCATCATCTGCATACCGCAGGTTATTAAGCTTGACTCCATTTATTGAGATGCCTTCATCAATATCTTTTAGGACCTCTTCAAAAATGTGCTCCGAGTACAGATTGAATATCAGTGGTGAAATTATGCACCCCTGTTTCACTCCTCTTAAAAATTTGACCTGCCTAATGGTTGGTCTAATTCACTGTTTATAGCTCTACCAAAGAATATAGACGCTTCTATATTCGTCTATATTCTTTGGTTTTATCAAAGAATGTATGCGACTATATTCTTTATCAGTGAACGAGAAGTAAAGTGAGAAAAGATTCGTCTGCTGACCAGATGTACTTAAGAATACACTCTTGAATGGAAGTAGGTATATTTGGTATATAATAACATTTTAAAAGCATCTGAAGAACAATAATACTTGAAATAAAAATGTTTGGAATATAAATAGTTTGCAAATAGAAATAGTTATTTTAAAATTATTTTCTTCTAAGAAATATGAAATTAGGCGAAATGTATTAAATTAAATATATTCTGCAGAAAAAACAGTGTTGTGTTTTACATTTTATGTTATATTATATTAAAAACAAAGAAGAAGAAATAATTAAATTTACAAACTTTGGAAATATTTAATTCCGATGATTGATGACTTAATTGATTGAATTAATTTTATTTATAGTTTATAAGAAGAGAGTTTTAATTATATTATTTGTAGATTTGTACCGGGTGGTCCAATAAGCCGATCAGTCGGCTATATATCAGAAACTATTCATGTTATAACTTTAGGAGAAAAAATTTCTTAGTAGAATTGGTCAGGAGAAATCGCTGGAAATAACTTTCAAGTTTCTGGGTTAACCGCTAGGGGGCGTAACCTGTGAATAAAAATTTGAAAAAAAGTTTTTTGTGAAGTATGCCCAATTATATCATATAAGTGTTAAATTAGTAAACTAGAAAGAGGCCTAAATTCCGCACAAAGTTGTTCAAGTACTTTTTTTATTTCTTCAAATAAAGGGTGGGGGAGAGTGGGAAAGTATTTGTGGATAAATACCTATAATTTCGGTTTGGATCAACCGATTTTAACGAAATTAGTGTTATTAGAAAGAGTATGGATGATTTAATTTATATCTACTATAAATCAATTGAATTTAGTTTGAATTGTCATGGGTAGAGGGTACTTTTGAATAGAAAAAATTAAATTTATTTTTCTTCAAAATGTTTAATGGAAACACCTATTTATTGTAAATTATAATGGAACTGGGTTAAAGTCGTAACAAAACGGCGAAAACCGTATGTTGATATCTTTTGTAGAACTCGAGATATGAATAAAAACGCATAAACATAAATAAGTATAGTATTGATTCACCCTTTATTATAACTTAAAATTAAATATGTGAAAGATCATACAAACATCTCGATCATTAAAACTTAATGTCCAATTAAATATTCAAATTGTTTTCCATCATTGTCCACACAAAGATGTAATATTTCGCGCGTAGACATAACAGCTGCTTCAATCCCATCTGTTGATATACTATTTATTGTGTTTATAATGCGCTGTTTTATCTCGACCCGCGTGGTTGGTCAAGTTTGGTAGTACACTAAGTCCTTCAATCTTCCCCACAGATAAAAGTCCAGATATGTTGAGTTTGGAGATTCCCCTTCCAATCCATTTATTTGGATAAACTTGCATACAAATAATCTCGAACTCGTCTGGAAAAGTCATATTGTAATATCATACCTCTTCTTGTTTGTAAAGAAATATCTTCCAATAAAACAGACAACTGATTTTCCAGAAAATCCAAATATTTTTCGCCATTTAAAGTTATATCAAAGAAATATGGACCTACGATCTTTCCATTAACTATACCACACCAAACATTAAGACTCCATCTACCTTGAACCTGCACCTCATGCAGGGACGTATTTATGGTGGGGTTTAGGGGGTTCAAACCCCCTCCTTGCAGTCCATGCAAAACTATTACTTTTAATCCAATATCATTACATGTATAAAAAATAAAAATACATTAATGAGCCAGCACACGGATGCTGTCGGTCCGCAGTAGCATCGTAGACACAGATAAACTAATACCTATTAGAATTAGAACGCTATTAGTAGTTATATCACCGTACACCTATTCCAAATAGTAGGTTCACTCCATGATATAAGGATACCAGATATGATATTGCCACGCACTAAACTCGTACACTCACGCGCATGACGTCACCTTGTGCTAAATTTTTAAAATGTATTCATGCTTGCGGATGAAACGAACTGTTGAAATTCTAATATAATTTACTAGATGTTTTATTTACTACGTGAATTTAAGCTTAAGTATTTAAATTAGTATATTGTAAAAAATAACAATTTTCCCATAAGAGTGAAGTTTGATGGAGGGAGCCATGGCCGAATGCCACAAATTGCAAACTATGGAATGTGATTTTCATACAATATATATTTTATATATAGTAGTTAGATATTATTGACTGACTAGTTAGATAAACTATTTCTTTTGAGGTTGCAGTCATTAATAGGGCAGGATAAGTAAAACTCTTTGTTCTTTTATTTAGCTTTCACAAAATTTATTCGCTTCTTCAGGATATGCTAAAATATGGTTATAATTATTTAATCTCCCATATATATATATATATATATATATATATATATATATATATATATATATATATATATATTAATAAAGTATTCAACTAGTGAATTCAGAGGTTAAACGGTCGTTCAGGTTGGCAAAATAAAAAACAGAAGTCAACTACTTCATAAGTTTATAGAAGACATTTCGCTTTATACTTCTAAAGCTTCATCAGTTCTAACTCAATATGTAGTATTAAAGATGTTATTATATATGTATTTAAGTTTACTCATTATTTAGAACTAACTTAAAAAAAAAATACAGAAACAAAGGACACAAAAACTTTGCAAAAAATAATGTCATTCGCAGAAACGAAGATTTAACAAAATTTTAAACGTACATTTGGCTTCATTTAGAGATGGTTCTCCAATTAAGACCAACAAAACACTCAATAGTGTTTTCAAACAAAACACTTTTGAGTGTTTTGTTGGTCTTCATTGGAGAACCATCTCTAAATGAAGCCAAATGTACGTTTAAAATTTTGTTAAATCTTCGTTTCTGCGAATGACATTATTTTTTGCAAAGTTTTTGTGTCCTTTGTTTCTGTATTTTTTTTAAGTTAGTTCTAAATAATGAGTAAACTTAAGTACATATATAATAACATCTTTAATACTACATATTGAGTTAGAACTGATAAAGCTTTAGAAGTATAAAGCGAAACGTCTTCTATAAACTTATAAAGTAGTTGACTTTTGTTTTATATTTTGCCAACCTGAATGACCGATTCATCACTTCAATCACTTTCAACAAAGTGCTTAGAGTAAACACGAGCAAATTTAACATTAAAATTATCCTGGCGTTTACACAAATGTTTCCAAACAGCTTGAATTTCCTTGTCTTTTGGAAAGCTATAAAATGCTGTACCGGGTACAAAACTCTTGCACATATTGTCAACGACACAACCATACACTGCACACCTCATATCGGGAAAAATTTAAAGCCTTGTAATACTTTTAAAATATTATTTTATTAAATATTGGCTATGAACCGTAAATGTACATAAACGTCAAAACAAAATATGGCGAAATTTAGCACAAGTTGACGTCACAAAAGTCATGCATAAGCCACGCCTACATGCGCGGTATCTTATCTGTTTGTATTTGTATCATGGCTTCACTCTTTTGATCTCGGCTCTCGCCGAAAGATTTTTTGCCGGTAGTCATAATTAATTATATTGAACGCTCCGCAAATACATTGAACGGTGCCTGAACGATAGACATTTAGAGAGGACTGACTGGTGAGAATTTGATAGGTACGGGGCGTGAGACGACGGGGGCAGGTAAACCGGCGCTAAATCGGGAGTGACCCAACTTATTTTATCTGATTTTATCACTGAACGGTGGTTTATATTATATGAGTCGCATCGCAGTCTAGTGCTGTCTAGTGCCAGTCTTGTTTGTCGGCCGGCCGGTGCATATGTGGATTTATGTATTGTTTTCTTTATTTTGTTGCTATCGTACAAGTACAAATCCAGTAAACTGTTGTATTTGTCGAAATTTTTGTGGTGTTTGTGTAAGTATCTACAGTGTCGTTACGCATATATAGATAATATAATAATAATTATTTGGATATTGCTTAATATTAATGTTTTAGTGAAAGAAGTATGAAACGAACTTTACAGCAGTCGCTTTTGGGATTTTTTCCAAAGAAGGGGAAAACTAATGATGAACCGAATCCTCAAAACGATAAAATCCTAACTACGCCGAGTATGGATATTAGTACAGATGGGGATGCTCCAACTCTGTCCACCTCAGATAGAAACAGAGAACCAAGCCATGGTAAGTTACTTTAATTTTAATCTCTCACTATTTTAAAGCATTTTTTTTAGCTGGTCTGGATTCTGGTATGGACTACGATTTTGGTAAATATTTATCAAATAATCCAAAAAATGACGAAGAAAAATTAACAGTTTTAAAAGAAACTTGGACCTCTCCAGAGACTTTTAAGTTCCCCGTCTGTGGTAAAAGAAGACTTTGTTTTCAACGTCATTGGACCCAAAAGAATCCATGCTTAGTATATTCAAATATGTTACAAGGATCATTATGCAAAATGTGAGTTTTATTTGGACAGACCGAAGGTGGTCGCGGTGATCAAAAACTTGGAAGTTTTGTCACAAAACCATTTAATAACTGGAAAAAAGCTCTGGAAAAAATGGAACATCATCGAAATACAAATTATCATAAATATGCTGTTGAACGGGCAAGAAATTTTGTAAGCGTTATGGAAGGTCAAACTCGTGATATTACAGAGTCGTTTAATGAAGAAAATAAAAAAATTGCCCGAGAAAATAGAGAGAGGCTATGTGCCATAGTGGACACAATCTTATTTTGCGGACGGCAGGAATTGCCTTTGAGAGGAAATCAAGACTCTGGTGAAATCGGTATTATAGATCCTCTATATAATGACGGTAATTTTCGTGCATTACTTCGTTTTCGTGCGCAAGCTGATGATGAAGTACTTAAAAATCACCTTATTTCTCAAAGCAATCATTCTCGGGCTATGTACACATCGTCCGTCATTCAAAATGAAATTATTGATTTGTGTGGAAATGCTATTCAGGAGCAAATAATAAATAGAGTCAAACAATCAGGTTTCTTTGCTGTACTTGCCGACGAAACTCAAGACATTTCGCGTCACCAACAACTCTCACTTTACCTTCGGTATGTAGACTGCTCTTCTGGAAAGGCACTTATTCGAGAGGGTTTCATTGAATTTATACATGTTGATGAAGTAACAGGATCAGCTCTAGCTACGATAATCATCGATAAATTTAAGTCGTTTGGATTAGATTTGGAGAATTTAGTTGGCCAGGGCTATGATGGTGCGGCTGTGGTGAGCGGACGATTTAAAGGAGTAAGAACAATAATCATGGACAAATATCCTCGAGCACTATTCGTACACTGTGTGGCGAACACATTAAACTTAGTTTTGGGTCATTCATGCGAGATCCCTGCAATACGAAACTGCATCGGAACTATTAAAAGTATAATTAACTTCTTTCGGCAATCTGCACTAAGGGATGGACTTTTAAAAAGAACTGCGGACGAGATTGGAGCACCTCATCCAACGCTTATCTCGCTTTGTGAGACACGCTGGACAGAAAAACATACAGCCGTCGAAAGATTTGCTGAGATGTTTCCTGTAGTAAATTCCGTGCTTCAAGAATCTGGAAGGGAAATTGCAACCCAAGCTTACCAGTTACAAGTCGCAATGGAAAACAGTCAATTTATAGTTTCACTAACTATTTTAAGGAAGGTTTTCTCCTATACGTCAAGCTTAAACCGAACCCTACAAAAAGTCAATGTAGATTTAACCGACTCTTGCAGTTACGTAAAAACAATAAAAACCACTTTACAGAACCTTCGTAACGAACGTGAATTCTCAAATCTTTTTGAGAAAGCAAAAAAATTAATTTCAGCAGATATAACTGTTCCAAGAGTAAGTAGAAGACAATTAAACCGCAATAATATACTAGGGGACACTGCTGAAGTTTACTATCGGCGAAATATATTTTATCCATTTATAGAACATGTAGTGACCGAGCTTGATGCTCGCTTTAAACCTCACGAAGAAGCAATTTCAGGAATTCAGTTGCTTCTACCAGATCGCACCCAAAATACTGAGGGAGCAAAGAAATGTATAGCAGGAATCGGAGAAATATTTCTCAGGGAAGTTGAAATAAAACATTTAGTAAGTGAGTATGAGCTTTGGCACAACCACTGGTGCAATCAAGAACAGCCGTCTACTGCACTAGAAGCTATGAACCGATGTGATGAAATTTTTTTCCAACGATTAGGAAACTTCTTCAAATTTTAGCAACACTTCCAGTATCTACTGCCACACCTGAACGTACTTTTTCATCACTTAAACGGTTAAAAACTTATCTTAGAAATAGAATGGGAGACGAGAGGCTTACAGGATTAGCTCTCATGAGTATTCATCGGAATGTGACAATAGGTCTAAATTCCTCAGAAATTGTAAATAAGTTAGCTGAAAGAAGGAAGAGAATGAATTTAATTTTGTAAAACGGTATTTTAAGTTTTAATAAATTTTTTAGAAATTTGTTTTTATTACTTTTTTCAAAGGTATTTTAAAACCAAGCCCCGGTTTTACCTAATTTGGAAATTAGGATCCCCCCATTAAAAAACTATAAATACGTCCCTGACCTCATGTATACAATGCAAATTTTCTTTAGCCCAATAATGCATATTATGCAGATTAACACCACCCGCACTATTAAACGTAGCCTCGTCTGTTCACAAAATCTTTGACATGATACGCGATTGTTCTTCTAGTAGACCTAACATCCAATTGCAATAATACAGCCTTGCATCAAAATCTCTCTCATGTAAAGCTTGGTGGAGAACTACATGATAAGGATGCAGTCTAAAAAACAGAACAACAAATATTGGTGAAAAAGAAACCGCTATATTTACTAAAACTCAAAAATCTACAATTGTTTCACAAGATAAATCGTGCATAAGTATTTTTAAGAAACGGATAAAAGCTCCTTGTTGCCGTTTTTATCGGAATATTAAAATAACAGTTGAATTCAAAGTTTAAAGGAAATTCCAAGTTTCTGACCTAAACGTTCACTTTATAATATGAAAAACCAATCTGTGATGTTTTAAAATCCTTAGAACAGTAGTTTTGGGTATGTTTAATTCTATAGAGATTTGCCGACTACTTATATGTGGATTCTGTTGAATTGAAGCAAGAACATTGATGGAATTATCTTCGGTCATAACTCTACTACATCGTTTAAAACAAGGACGATGAACGACTACCAGTTTCTCTTACTCTTCTTACCTTTCTTTCAAATACTTCTTTGCCATAATGTCTTCTGTCAGGATATCTTACAGAATATATACGTGAGGCAATAGCGGCATTTTGGTGACATTCGAAATAAACTCCAATTATATCATACAATTCTGCATTTGATATACTCATCACGGATCATTAGTACTCATAATTAATTACTAATATTACCAATATTAATATCTATTGAAAAAAGTGCAATCTTCAATTCGGATTATAATATAACACTTTCGAAAAAACTATTTTTAATCATATAAAATAACACTGGTCAAAATAGGTATCAACATTAAGATTCTTTTGTTATAAAAAAATTTGAAAGTACCTACTGACTTATTTTTTAATTTAATTTATAATACAGGGTGAGTCAATACTATACTTACTTATGTTTATGCGTTTTTATTCATATCTCGAGTTCGACAAAAGCTATTAACATGCGGTTTGCGCCATTTTGTTACGAATTTAATCCAGTTCCATTATAGTTTACAATAAATAGGTGTTTCTATTAAAATTTTGAAGAAAAACGAATTTTAATTTTTTCTATTCGAAAGTACCCTCTACCTATGACAATTAAAACTAAATGCAATTATTTTATAGTAGATATAAATTAAATCATCCACACTCTTTCTAATGACACTAATTTAGTTAAAATCTGTTAATCCAATCCAAAGTTATAGGTATTTATCCACAAATACTTCCCCACTCTCCCCCACCCTTTATTTGATAAAATTAAAAAAAAGTACTTGAACAACTTTGTGAAGAATTAAGGATCTTTCTAGTTTACTTATTTAACACTTGGTATAATTGGGCATATTTCTAAAAAAACTGGTTTTCAAAGTTTTCTTCACAGGTTACGCCCCCTAGCGATTAACCCAGAAACTTGAAAGTTATTTCCAGCGATTTCTCGTGGCCACTTTTACCAATAAATTTTTTCTCCTAAAGTTATAACATGAATAGTTTCTGATATATAGCCGAGATCGGCTTATTGGACCACCCGGTACATATTTAAATTAAAAATTTGAATGAATTTCTATGCAATCTCGTATGTTGTGTCAAAGCACTAAATTGGGAAAAGGGCTTAAAACAAATTTTGCACTTGTATGGTTTTTCTCCTGTGTGCAATTTCATACGTTGTGCACTTGTAATGTTTTTCTCCAGTGTGAATTTTCATGTGTACACTTAACGATTTTCTATGAGTAAACTGCCTAAAACAAGTTTCACACTTGTACGGTTTTTCTCCAGTGTGCAATTTCATATGTTCTTTCAAAGCACTGGACCGGGAAAACGGCTTAAAACAAATTTCGCACTTGTATTGTTTTTCTCCAGTATGCAATTGCATATGTTCTTTCAAAGTAGTGGACCAAGAAAACGATTGAAAACAAATGTTGCACTTGTATGGTTTTTCTCCAGTGTGCAATCTCGTATGTTGTTTCAAAGCACTGGATCGAGAAAACGGCTTAAAACAAATTTCGCACTTGTACGGTTTTTCTCCAGTGTGCAATCTCATATGTTGTTTTAAAGTACTGGACCGAGAAAACGGCTTAAAACAAATTTCGCACTTGTATGGTTTTTCTCCTGTGTGCAATTTAATATGTTGTTTCAAAGTACTGGAATGAGAAAACAGCTTAAAACAAATTTCGCACTTGTATGGTTTTTCTCCAGTATGCAATTTCATATGTTCTTTCAAAGCACTGGACCGAGGAAACGATTGAAAACAAATGTTGCACTTGTATGGTTTTTCTTCAGTGTGCAATCTCATATGTTCTTTCAAAGCACTATACCGAGAAAACTGCTTACAACAAATTTCGCACTTGTATTGTTTTTCTCCAGTATGCAATTGCATATGTTCTTTCAAAGCACTGGACCGAGAAAACGATTGAAAACAAATGTTGCACTTGTATGGTTTTTCTCCAGTGTGCAATCTCGTATGTCGTTTCAAAGTACTGGAATGAGAAAACGACTTAAAACAAATTTCGCACTTGTATGGTTTTTCTCCAGTATGCAAATTCATATGTTCTTTCAAAGAACTGGACCGAGAAAACGGCTTGCAACAAATTTCGCACTTGTATTGTTTTTCTCCAGTATGCAATTGCATATGTTCTTTCAAAGTATTGGACCGAGAAAACGGCTTGCAACAAATTTCGCACTTGTATTGTTTTTTTCCAGTATGCAATTGCATATGTTCTTTCAAAGCACTGGACCGAGAAAACGATTGAAAACAAATGTTGCACTTGTATGGTTTTTCTTCAATGTGCAATCTCATATGTTCTTTCAAAGTACTGGACTGAGAAAACGACTTAAAACAAATTTCGCACTTGTATGGTTTTTCTCCAGTATGCAATTTCATATGTTCTTTCAAAGCACTGGACCGAGAAAACGGCTTGCAACAAATTTCGCACTTGTATGGTTTTTTTCCAGTATGCAATTGCATATGTTCTTTCAAAGTAGTGTACCAATAAAACGATTGAAAACAAATGTTGCACTTGTATGGTTTTTCTCCTGTGTGCAATCTCGTATGTCGTTTCAAAGCACTGGACCGAGAAAACGGCTTGCAACAAATTTCGCACTTGTATGGTTTTTTTCCAGTATGCAATTGCATATGTTCTTTCAAAGTAGTGTACCAAGAAAACGATTGAAAACAAATGTTGCACTTGTATGGTTTTTCTCCTGTGTGCAATCTCGTATGTCGTTTCAAAGAACTGGACTGAGAAAACGGCTTAAAACAAATTTCGCACTTGTATGATTTTTCTTCAGTGTTCAATTTCATATGTTTCAACTTACTTATCTTAGGTTGACTCATAGCTCCGTTCATAATTTCAACAGTATCTTTCTCTTGGAGTAATCCTAAAATAAAAATCAACTATACAAGAGAAAATTTTTAAAAGTCGCTTATTTCCTAACTTAATATAAATCCAACCCATAAAAATTTATTAGGATATCAGTATAAAATATTCATTTTGAAAGAATTTTATAATTCTTTCAAAATATGCGTTAAGCACTCTATATTGATCGAAACTCTAAAAGTCATTGGCTTGGACGGCAGAGATGTTCGAATAATTGCAAATTATACTGGAATCAAACAACATCAGTTTTAGTAGATGGTGTGGAATCACAGGCTCTCAATATTAAAAGAGGAGTACGGCAGGGATGCCTCTTGTCACCCCTGCTTTTCAACGTTTACTCCGAAAGAATTTTCAGAAAAGCACTTTCTGAAAAACAAGAAGGAATACTTGTGAATGACGAAGTCATCAATAATTTGCGATATGCGGACGATACAGTACTCCTAGCTTCTAGTCAAGAAGATCTGCAAACACTACTTGATAGTGCCGTTGAGAGTTGTAGGGAGGCAGGTCTGGATCTGACCATACGGAAAACCACTCGTTAAGTAAACAACAGCATATAAAACCGTCTATATATGTAAATAATACCAAACTTGAGTAAGTTGATAAAATCTGTTACCTTGGACAGCAATTAAATTGTAACGCAGAAAGTCACGGCGAAATTAGGTCTAGGATAGAGCAGGCTAGAGCTGCTTTTAGAAGGATGTCCAAAGTGTTATGTAACAGAGACCTAAAATTGGCATTGAGGATCCGCCTACTTCGCTGCTACGTGCTCTCGGTCTTACTTTATGGTGTCGAGTCCTCGACTGTGAATAAAATCGATCTAAATCGCCTTGAGGCTTTCGAAATGTGGTGCTATAGACGAATTTTAAAAGTTTCCTGGGTGGGGAAAATTTGAAACTCCACAATACTAGAACGTCTCAGCAACACTACTGAGATCATAAAAAGCATCAAGCAGAGTAAGCAGGAGTATTTCGGACATGTAATGAGAGGTCCCAAATATAGGTTGCTACAAAATATCATGCAAGGAAAAATAGCAGGATAAATAGACCAGTTTTTAAACAATTAAATATTTTTATATACTGTAATTTCGCTGTAAATGTTCAGTTGTGTTGTTTGTGTAAAGTCAAATAGATGCAATTTTATTTGCAGAAATTATGTTTCCTTAATGAGTGGTTACAATTTTCGTTACAGAAATGATTTGGCGAACCCTATTCGTCACTTGTGGGCAGGGGTCCTTACCCAACATGCGTTCGTTTGTATAATCAATTACCTAATAAAGAGTCGAATATTTATGTATTTCAGAGAACAGTTAAGGACTTACTTCTGGTAAACACTTTATATTCGTTAGAGGAATACTTGCAGGCATCTTTTTAACAATTTGTATGTTTTTGTGTATATCGTCGCCGTGGAGGTCAAGGAAGCCAAGCCACAATTTTATCGAAATTGAGTTAGGTGCATAGGATGTATTTAAAACCCTCAAAAAATGCCGTGGTCAAAGGATTTGAGCAATAAATGTCTTCTATACTATTTTAAAATTCGCCAATAGATCTAGCACACACACTTTAATACAGTCAATGACAATAAGCCGCTTGTATTCATTGACTTCCATAATTTATTTATCTCTATCTTAAAAAAATTTGAACTGAACAGATCTAAGTGGCATATCTCTGTTGACTACTCAATATAATGTAGCCGGCCCACGCATCGGTTAGATTTAAACGATTTTTACACTAATGATATCTTACCCTTACTAAGCAAATAATTAATATTTTCTTACTTTTACTAAGCAAATTTGACAAGACTTTAATATGAAAATGTATTTTTTATCAGTTTTAGTTACTCGTGACTTGGTGTTTGATTTCAGTTTGATTTTTCAGTTCGCGTTTGGAAAATATGGTTAATTAATCTTTAAATAGTTTTCACTAAAATATAGACAATCGAGATAATCTCAAAGGTAAGTGAAATATGAATGTTTATTTTATATTTGTTTGTGTTGATACCTGGTACCTGACTAATATTTGTGTATTTAGCATACCTTTCCTACTATTTTAGTGTCCTGATGGACGTAAATGGAAGGACGAACTGTAGGTAATGATGCTGGTTCATTTGGCACATTCACCAGTATTTGTACACCAAGTGATTAAAATTTTATTTTTTTTTTCAATTTTAAATTTTTAGTTTGAGAAAATTAAAATTTGAGAAAATAATTTAAAAATTAAAATTTTGGTTTTATTTACAGATTCTGATCAACTTGGTGTACAAGCACATCTATCGAATCTTTTGAAATATCTGGACGAGACGAATATGTAGAGCTCCATAATCACTCACCCAGTATACCAATTGTAGAACGCAGTCAAGATATAATACAAGCACAGTATGTGGATGTGGACGAAAGAGCTGATCAAGCTGAGTATGCAGAGCTTAAAAATGTGACACTAGATAATATTGATATAACACACAATGGGGACTTAAACTTGGTACGGAGTTGAGATCTACACCAAGTAGCACCCCATCTACCTGAAGTTCAACAAGACCCTAATATGCCTGGATCATCATCTACACCTGTAATATCTTTTAACGGTGACAGTGCTCAAAATTGGAAACCTCAAAACCGCCAAGTCCTTATAGCAGCAACTTCCAGTTCTTTTGATAATGATGACAATGGTGTAATACCATGTTCTGCCACTTCTACAAATCCAACTTAAGGTTTGGGCCTCTTCTCTCATAAAGCTCTTTCCTTTCCACCGCCAAAACATGCAACGGAACACATCCAGTGATGGTCCATAAGGCTCCGCAGACACAGTCCTGTAGGCGCATGCCACTCGCAACAGACTTGTTCTGTCTACTCGTTTCATAAGACTCCTATAGGCCGTTATCTCTACCGCCTCGCTCCAGACTGGTGCCGCGTAGAAGACCATAGACTGTACAACACCGTGTAAGGCGCTCCTCCTTTCGGATTTGGGTCCTCCAATGTTCGGCATCAGTCTCCCCAACGCAGCCTTTCGGTCCACCTCCCGAACGTGCTCCCCCATTTTCCATTCTGGTGCAATGTCTCTCCTAGATACTTTACTTGTTTCTTGGGTGTTAGACATACTCCCGCACATTTTAATTCAACACCTTGCCTGTTCCTTGTCCCCTTCAGAATGATGGCCTCGGTTTTCTCTGTAGCAAGTTTTAGTCCGTGTTGCGTCATCCATTTCTTTACGACGCCACCTGCGTTCCGAACCCGGTATTTAAAATCTGGCTCATCCCAGGCTACTACCAGTACAGCGAGGTCATCCGCGAATGCGAAGGGGGTTGTACCCTCTCCGTATTTACAGTGCATAACCCCGTCATATGCCATTCTCTCTCCTCCATTGCCTTCATTACCTCGTTCCACTGCAGCGTATTGAATGCATTCTTAACATCAAACAACAGCAGGTCCGCCCAGCGATGTTCATTCCCTTTGTTGCGCAATGCTTCGAGTACACTCATGATTGCATCAATCGTGTTTTTCCCTTTACAAAAACCAAATTGCCTCCGAGATAAGCCACCTGACCTCTCAATCATGTCGTCTATGCGTACTCGCAGCATCCTTTCATATAGCTTACTGATGCATGGAAGAAGACAGATAGGGCGATACTTTTCCCTAGCTTTGGGAAGCAGTATTAACCTCGATGTCCTCCAAGGCTCAGGAAAAGTTTGTGCTTCCAGCAATGCATTCATGTGTTCCAGAAGCCACGCAGGCTCCACCCGTCCTAGACCCTTCACCGCCTCAGGTGGTGGTATCTGATCTAGTCCGGAGGACCTACGAGTCTTGAGTGAACCCAATGCCTCGACAAGTTCATCCATGGTAAAGGGTACAGCCTGCTCAGCTCCTTCATCCCTCCATACACCATGACATCTGCCGTCCGGAAAGAGCTCTCTTGTTACCTCAAGCTTCCTGTCCATAGGCATTTCGTAAGGAGGATACGCATGGAACTTCTTCATAACGATCTTGTATCCCTGACCCCAGATGTCCTCATCCAGTTTTTCACACAGCTCTTTCCAGTACCTTCTTTTTTATGTACGAATTTTCGTGTACAGTTCCCTCTTCCTTGCGCGGTACTCTTCCTCGATCTGCTCGATGACCTCAGGATTGATTCCTGCTCTGCCTCTTGCTCTTGTTAACCTTCTTCTCATTGCTATGCATACATTTCTTAGTACCTCGATGTCCGCATTCCACCAATATGGCATATTATTTAAAAAAAAGTTTTTTTTAAACAGTTTTAAAGTACTGACAATATGTTTTATAAGACATCTTGAGAGTTTCCCTTTTTCTTTCTTTGAAAAAGGCCTGGACCAATACATACAATGATTTTATATTTACCAAAGTGTTGTCAAAATATTGAAAATTACTCTTGTTTCTACAGTAATGACTTTCATCATTGGGTATACTAGCCAAGTGATCCCCTAATAACACAACAACGGCATCTGAAATGTTTTTAGGCCTATTCAAATGTTTTCCTCTTTTTTCTTCAAATGAATCTCCCAACAAGATCTTTTTTTAAATAATCCGTATGCGTTTTACTGAAATTTAAAACAAGTCCAAAATAAACTTGCGACACACTAAAACAGTATTTCCTCTTACAGACATACGATAGGCCCAGGTGTGATCTCTTGTTTTTTTTTTGCTTAAGAGATTTTCTTCTACTTTTGGGATCTTTAGCCAGGTCCATACAGTTAGACAACTGGCTATCTTGGAGACTTTTGTTCTGACAGTTGTAAAAGCAATCGAAAAACTCTACTTGAAAATCAAGAGGCAGATTTTCGTGGTATTTGTTCTGGCAGCAGTCAGAAACTAAATTGAATGACTTGGAACTAACCTTCTTTCCTGACACAGATACGTATTCTTCACCTTGAACACGCCTTAATTTATTGGTTTCTTGTTTCTTATTGTTCTGTTTATGGATCACTTTCCTTTTCCTCTTCCCATCAGAACTATTAACTTCTTGAACATCTTCGTAATCACTATATTCTTCATTACGTATCATAGTTATTATTAGAATAAAACTCGATGTAATAATATAATAGAATAAAACTTATCAGAAAAACAACCTTACTATAATATATTAATATTGTATGACACATGACAATGATCGAAACAAATGAGAAGCGATAAATAGCCCTCCTATACAAAACACCTGCGGAAATCGTTTATAAACAATCACATATCTGAAAAAACATCTTGCACACTAATATTCAAACAGTTCCACCAATATCATTTTTAAAAATAAATAAATGAAAATTATACCATTGTAAAGGAGAAAACATGGCGAACATAAATAGCCACTCTGCGTAAAAAGGGCACATAAACCTATGTGCCCTTCTCACGTCGACCGCCTAAATTTACGTTAGACCAATCCATTTCCTAAGATTAGCAATCCAGGATATACGTCTGAGTCAGGGCCTCTCTTGTCCACAATATTGCCTTATAGAATCAACCGTACAAATCGGTATGTTTTTTAAGGCATTAATAAATTCTTTATCTTTTCTTAGCCTTTGGAGAATAGTATGTTAGTTGTGTTGTGTATATTTGAGACTCTTAACGTCTGTAGCACCCTTAACGTTTCTTTCATCTTTATATTATTGGTTTTGCGATAACTCGTTGCATCTAAATGCAGAAAAAACGCAAGTTATACATTTTCACAATAAAGTTTAAATACTTGGAAAATCTTCAGCTTATTTTTAACAACATGCAAATAGATACGGTGTCGTCAGGCAAGTTTTTGGGAATAACGATTGACGAAAGTTTGGATTGGAAGTTGCATTGTGGAGCGGTTGTTTCGAAGTTGAGTTCCATTAACTATCTAATTAGAAATTTAAAATATGTTCTGACGGAAAATCAGCTAATTATGATTTATTATACACTCGTAGAGTCCTGGCTAAGATACGGGATATGTTTTTGGGGTATGTCTGGTTGTAGACTGGCTTTGGGGTATGTCTGGCTTGTAACTAGTTGTAGAGAATATTTTAAAAAATATAAAATTTTAACATTGGCGTGTCTATACATTTTTGAATTATGTGTTTTTATTTTTAATAACTTACATCAGTTTAAAACGAGTGGTGATATGCATAATTTAAATACTAGATATTATAATAAACTTTATATACCATTTTCAAAAGGTAACATTAAATTTAAATCGCCCAGGGTATACGGGCTACAGGTGTTTAATCATTTGCCCACAGTTGTAAAGTCCACCAGTTCAATAAATGTATTTAAGAGGAATCTTAGGCAATTTTTATGTGAAAAAGTGTTTTATACAGTCGAAGAATTTTTTAGATCTTAGATATTAGCTGTATTTTATTTAGCTTTTAAATTCATTTCATGTCTTGTTTAGTCTAGTTTAGTGTTTAGTTTGTAGCAATGTATATTTATGACTAATTCTATACAACCTATGCTTGCCAGAAAGAAAATAAAGAATTTAATTTAATTTAATTTTAATATTGATCGAAACTCTATAAAAGACATTGGCTTGGACGGCAGAGATGTTCGAATAATTGCAAATTTATATTGGAATCAAACAACATCAGTTTTAGTAGATGGTGTGGAATCACAGGCTCTCAATATTAAAAGAGGAGTACGGCAGGGATGCCTAACCCCCATTCCTGGCCTGGAGGTCACCATTTTCCCCTTTTAAAATAATTAAACAAACTGTCAAAATAAATTTCGCACTTGTATGATTGCAACCTCGTATGTTGTTTCGACGAACTGGAGTAAGAAAATTTCGCATTCTATGGTCTTTCTTCGGTATGCAATTTCATATGTATTTTCATACTTCTTACTTGACAAAACGACTTAAAACAAACTTCACACTTGTACGGTGTTTCTCCAGTGTGCAATCTGGTATGTCGTTTCAAAGTTCTGGAATGAGAAAACGACTTAAAACAAATTTCGCACTTGTATGGTTTTTCTCCAGTGTGCAATCTCATATGTTGTTTCAAAGCACTGGACCGAGGAAAACGGCTTAAAACAAATTTCGCACTTGTATTGTTTTTCTCCAGTATGCAATTGCATATGTTCTTTCAAAGTAGTGGACCAAGAAAACGATTGAAAACAAATGTTGCACTTGTATGGTTTTTCTCCAGTGTGCAATTGCATATGTTCTTTCAAAACACTGTACCGAGAAAACGGCTTACAACAAATTTCGCACTTGTATGGTTTTTCTCCAGTATGCAATTTCATATGTTCTTTCAAAGTACTGGACAAAGAAAACGATTGAAAACAAATGTTGCACTTGTATGGTTTTTCTCCTGTGTGCAATCTCGTATGTCGTTTCAAAGTACTGGAATGAGAAAACGACTTAAAACAAATTTGGCACTTGTATGATTTTTCTCCAGTGTGCAATCTCAAATGTCGTTTCAAATTACTGGACTGCGAAAACGGCTTAAAACAAATTTGGCACTTGTATGATTTTTCTCCAGTGTGCAATCTCGTATGTCGTTTCAAATTACGGGACTTAGAAAACAACTTACAACAAATTTCGCACTTGTATGATTTTTCTTCAGTGTTCAATTTCAAATGTTTCAAATTACTTGTCTTAGGTTGACTCATAGGTCTGTTCATAATTTCAACAGTATCTTTCTCTTGGAGTAATCCTAAAATAAAAACCAACTATATAAGAGAAAATTTTTGAAACTCGTTTATTGTCGAAATTAATATAAATCCAACCCATAAAAATTTATTAGGATAGTATAAAATATTCATTTTGAAAGAATTTTATAATTCTTTCAAAATATGCGTTAAGCACTCTATATTGATCGAAACTCTATAAAAGACATTGGCTTGGACGGCAGAGATGTTCGAATAATTGCAAATTATACTGGAATCAAACAACATCAGTTTTAGTAGATGGTGTGGAATCACAGGCTCTCAATTTAAAAGAGGAGTACGGCAGGGATGCCTCTTGTCATCCCTGCTTTTTAACGTTTACTCCGAAAGAATTTTCAGAAAAGCACTTTCTGAAAAACAAGAAGAAATACTTGTGAACGACGAAGTCATCAATAATTTGCGATATGCGGACGATACAGTACTCCTAGCTTCTAGTCAAGAAGATATGCAAACACTACTTGATAGTGCCGTTGAGGGTTGTACGGAGGCAGGTCTGGATCTGAACATACGGAAAACCACTCGTAATAAGTAAACAACAGCATATAAAACCGTCTATATATGTACCAAACTTGAGTAAGTTGATAAAATCTGTTACCTTGGACAGCAATTAAATTGTAACGCAGAAAGTCACGGCGAAATTAGGTCTAGGATAGAGCAGGCTAGAGCTGCTTTTAGAAGGATGTCCAAGGTGTTATGTAACAGAGTGTCTTATTTGTATGTTTTTGTGTATATCATCGCCGTGGAGGTCAAGGAAGCCAAGCCACAATTTTATCGAAATTGAGTTAGGTGCATAGGATGTATTTAAAACCCTCAAAAAATGCCGTGGTCAAAGGATTTGAGCAATAAATGTCTTCTATACTATTTTAAAATTCGCCAATAGATCTAGCACACACACTTTAATACAGTCAATGACAATAAGCCGCTTGTATTCATTGACTTCCATAATTTATTTATCTCTATCTTAAAAAAATTTGAACTGAACAGATCTAAGTGGCATATCTCTGTTGACTACTCAATATAATGTAGCCGGCCCACGAATCAGTTAGATTTAAACGATTTTTACACTAATGATATCTTACCCTTACTAGGCAAATAAATAATATTTTCTTACTTTTACTAAGCAAATTTAACAAGACTTTAATATGAAAATGTATTTTTTATCAGTTTTAGTTATTCGTGACTTGGTGTTTGATTTCAGTTTGTAAGTGTTTCAGTTTTTCAATTTCTTGAAAATTGATTCGCGTTTGGAAAATATGGTTAATTAATAGTTTTCACTAAAATATAGACAATCGAGATAATCTCAAAGGTAAGTGAAATATGAATGTTTATTTTATATTTGTTTGTAGTGATACCTGGTACCTGACTAATATTTGTGTATTTAGCATACCTTTCCTACTATTTTAGTGTCCTGATGGACGTAAATGGAAGGACGAACTGTAGGTAATGATGCTGGTTCATTTGGCACATTTACCAGTATTTGTACACCAAGTGATTAAAATTTTATTTTTTTTTTTTTTATTTTAAATTTTTAGTTTGAGAAAATTAAAATTTGAGAAAATAATTTAAAAATTAAAATTTTGGTTTTATTTACAGATTCTGATCAACTTGGTGTAAAAGCACATCTCTCGAATCTTTTGAAATATCTGGACGAGACGAATATGTAGAGCTCCAAAATCACTCACCCAGGATACCAATTGTAGAACGCAGTCAAGATATAATACAAGCACAGTATGTGGATGTGGACGAAAGAGCTGATCAAGCTGAGTATGCAGAGCTTAAAAATGTGACACTAGATAATATTGATATTACACACAATGGGGACTTAAACTTGGTACGGAGTTGAGATCTACACCAAGTAGCACCCCATCTACCTGAAGTTCAACAAGACCCTAATATGCCTGGATCATCATCTACATCTGTAATATCTTTTAACGGTGACAGTGCTCAAAATTGGAAACCTCAAAACCGCCAAGTCCTTATAGCAGAAACTTCCAGTTCTTTTGATAATGATGACAATGGTGTAATACCATGTTCTGCCACTTCTACAAATCCAACTTAAGGTTTGGGCCTCTTCTCTCATAAAGCTCTTTTCTTTCCACCGCCAAAACATGCAACGGAACACATCCAGTGATGGTCCATAAGGCTGCCGCAGACACAGTCCTGTAGGCGCATGCCACTCGCAACAGACTTGTTCTGTCTACTCGTTTCATAAGACTCCTATAGGCCGTTATCTCTACCGCCTCGCTCCAGACTGGTGCCGCGTAGAGGACGATAAACTGTACAACACCGTGTAAGGCGCTCCTCCTTTCGGATTTGGGTCCTCCAATGTTCGGCATCAGTCTCCCCAACGCAGCCGCAATATTCGCAGCCTTTCGGACCACCTCCCGAACGTGCTCCCCCATTTTCCATTCTGGTGCAATGTCTCTCCTAGATACTTTACTTACTTGTTTTGGGTGTTAGACATACTCCCGCACATTTTAATTCAACACCTTGCCTGTTCCTTGTCCCCTTCAGAATGATGGCCTCGGTTTTCTCTGTAGCAAGTTTTAGTCCGTGTTGCGTCATCCATTTCTTTACGACGCCACCTGCGTTCCGAACCCGGTATTTAAAATCTGGCTCATCTCGGCTACTACCAGTACAGCGAGGTCATCCGCGAATGCGAAGGGGGTTGTACCCTCTCCGTATTTACAGTGCATAACCCGTCATATGCCATTCTCTCTCCTCATTGCCTTCATTACCTCGTTCCACTGCAGCGTATTGAATGCATTCTTAACATCAAACAACAGCAGGGCCGCCCAGCGATGTTCATTCCCTTTGTTGCGCAATGCTTCGAGTACACTCATGATTGCATCAATCGTGTTTTTCCCTTTACAAAAACCAAATTGCCTCCGAGATAAGCCACCTGGCCTCTCAATCATGTCGTCTATGCGTACTCGCAGCATCCTTTCATATAGCTTACTGATGCATGGAAGAAGACAGATGGGGCGATACTTTTCCCTAGCTTTGGGAAGCAGTATTAACCTCGATGTCCTCCAAGGCTCAGGAAAAGTTTGTGCTTCCAGCAATGCATTCATGTGTTCCAGAAGCCACGCAGGCTCCACCCGTCCTAGACCCTTCACCGCCTCAGGTGGTATCTGATCTAGTCCGGAGGACCTACGAGTCTTGAGTGAACCCAATGCCTCGACAAGTTCATCCATGGTAAAGGGTACAGCCTGCTCGGCTCCTTCATCCCTCCATACACAATGACATCTGCCGTCCGGAAAGAGCTCTCTTGTTACCTCAAGCTTCCTGTCCATAGGCATTTCGTAAGGAGGATACGCATGGAACTTCTTCATAACGATCTTGTATCTCTGACCCCAGATGTCCTCATCCAGTTTTTCACACAGCTCTTTCCAGTACCTTCTTTTTTATGTACGAATTTTCCTGTACAGTTCCCTCTTCCTTGCGCGGTACTCTTCCTCGATCTGCTCGATGACCTCAGGATTGATTCCTCAGGCCCAGGTGTGATCTCTTGTTTTTTTTTTGCTTAAGAGATTTTCTTTTACTTTTGTGATCTTTAGCCAGGTCCATACAGTTAGACAACTGGCTATCTTGGAGACTTTTGTTCTGGCAGTTGTAAAAGCAATCAAAAACTCTACTTGAAAATCAAGAGGCAGATTTTCGTGGTATTTGTTCTGGCAGCAGTCAGAAACTAAATTGAATGACTTGGAACTAATCTTCTTTCCTGACACAGATACGTATTCTTCACCTTGAACACGCCTTAATTTATTGGTTTCTTGTTTCTTATTGTTCTGTTTATGGATCACTTTCCTTTTCCTCTTCCCATCAGAACTATTAACTTCTTGAACATCTTCGTAATCACTATATTCTTCATTACGTATCATAGTTATTATTAGAATAAAACTCGATGTAATAATATAATAGAATAAAACTTATCAGAATAACAACCTTACTATAATATATTAATATTGTATGACACATGATAATGATCGAAACAAATGAGAAGCGATAAATAGCCCTCCTATACAAAACACCTGCGGAAATCGTTTATAAACAATCACATATCTGAAAAAACATCTTGCACACTAATATTCAAACAGTTCCACCAATATCATTTTTAAAAATAAATAAATGAAAATTATACCATTGTAAAGGAGAAAACATGGCGAACATAAATAGCCATTCTGCGTAAAAAGGGCACATAAGCCTATGTGCCCTTCTCACGTCGACCGCCTTAATTTACGTTAGACCAATCCATTTCCTAAGATTAGCAATCCAGGATATACGTCTGCGTCTAGGGCCTCTCTTGTCCACAATATTGCCTTATAGAATCAACCGTACAAATCGGTATGTTTTTTAAGGCATTAATAAATTCTTTATCTTTTCTTAGCCTTTGGAGAATAGTATGTTAGTTGTGTTGTGTATATTTGAGACTCTTAACGTCTGTAGCACCCTTAACGTTTCTTTCATCTTTATATTCTTGGTTTTGCGATAACTCGTTGCATCTAAATGCAGAAAAAACGCAAGTTTTACATTTTCACAATAAAGTTTAAATACTTGGAAAATATTTAGCTTATTTTAACAACATGCAAATAGATACGGTGTCGTCAGGCAAGTTTTTTGGAATAACGATTGACGAAAGTTTGGATTGGAAGTTGCATTGTGGAGCGGTTGTTTCGAAGTTGAGTTCCATTAACTATCTAATTAGAAATTTAAAATATGTTCTGACGGAAAATCAGATAATTATGATTTATTATGCACTCGTAGAGTCAGGTTAAGATACGGGATATGTTTTTGGGGTATGTCTGGTTGTAGACTGGCTTTGGGGTATGTCTGGCTTGTAACTAGTTGTAGAGAATATTTTAAAAAATATAAAATTTTAACATTGGCGTGTCTATACATTTTTGAATTATGTGTTTTTATTTTTAATAACTTACATCAGTTTAAAACGAGTGGTGATATGCATAATTTAAATACTAGATATTAT